CTGCTACAAAAACTGGTAAGTCAAGGGTAAAGCTTAAGTAACAGGGACTATGAATTTAGGGTAGAAGTGAAAATAACCAAAGTGGAACTAAATACCCTATTCTTGAATGAACTGAGATCAAGTAAACTTCGCCAGACTTTCTTCTTAACTATAAAACTATTAACCCAAGGTAAAGTCACACAATTTTACCTCCCAACAAACTTTTAAAATAAAAATTTCCAAAAACTTTAGATGTCTAGGTTTTGTTATATCTTAACAAGAGTTACACAGTTGTAAATCTATATTTAACTTCAGCTAAACATCTATTCACTTTTTAAAAACGCTGTCTGCAAATAAACTACTGGACATCTTAAGCTTACTAAAAAAAACTTAAGATTTTTAAATTAAAAAAAAAAAACTAGAATAAAAATCTAGCAAATAGCTTCATGTATCTTTAAACACTGATTCTTAAAAATTTATATGCTGGCCGGGCGCGGTGGCTCAAGCCTGTAATCTCAGCACTTTGGGAGGCCGAGACGGGCGGATCACGAGGTCAGGAGATCGAGACCATCCTGGCTAACCCGGTGAAACCCCGTCTCTACTAAAAAAATACAAAAAATTAGCCGGGCGAGGTGGCGGCGCCTGTAGTCCCAGCTACTCGGGAGGCTGAGGCAGGAGAATGGCGTGAACCCGGGAGGCGGAGCTTGCAGTGAGCTGAGATCCGGCCACTGCACTCCAGGCTAGGCGACAGAGCCAGACTCCGTCTCAAAACAAAAACAAAAACAAAAACAAAAACAAAAACAAAAAAATTTATATCCTGAAAATGAGGTTTGAGAATAGGTATTTTAAACTATTTATACTCCTACAGTTGATTCTAGTCAGAAGTTATCTGAGCAAAGAGAAAATAAACAAAGCCTGGCATAAACAGTCCCATAGAAAATAGAACCCACAGCCATGGGGCTGCCCTTCAATTTCCCAATTCATTCCACTAAGTCTCATGATGCAACATCTGTCACTTTCATAGGGAAAACAGAAGCCAAGCCAGATCCTCCATACTTTAAGATATGGTCCCTTATTATCTATTTTAACAGAAGTATCAAAAAGCAATTTTTTATTTATTTATTTATTTTTGAGACAGAGTGTCACTCTGTTGCTCAGGCTGCAGTGCAGGGGCATGATCTCGGCTCACTGAACTTCCACCTCCTGGGTTCAAGCAATTCTTGTGCCTCAGCCTCCCTCCCAAGTAGGTGGGATTATAGGCACACACCAGTTACCCTGGCTGATTTTTTTGCTGTTGTATTTTTTGTAGAAATGGGGTTTCGCCATGTTGGCCAGGCTGCTCTTGAACTCCCGGCCTCAAGCGATCCACCCACCTCAGCCTCCCAAAGTGCTGGGATTACTTTGGGAGTGTGAGCCACTGCACCCAGCCAAAAAGTGATTTTATTTGGAATGCATTTCATGATTTTATTTCTCGCTCCCTGAGCATGCAGTGATTAGGGTGGATGGGAGGTGGCACTCAGGCAGATAATTCACAAAGTCACCACACAAGGGTGATAGACAGATGATCCAGCACTGAGATAATCAACCCAGTGAAAATGCTACACTGGGGACAACGTTTTGCCCTTTCCAGAGACAAGATATCTTGAGCTGGGGTCTGAGCTACGGCTATTAGAGGAGCAGAATTGAAGGCTCCCTTTGAGCCCATTCTGCAAATGGGGATGCATTTCAGATAATGAGACAAGAGATGGGATTGAGTTAGTACACAGCACGTCCAATACCCAACAAGCAGCCTCAGAGAGACTGGGACAAGAGGGAGAGGGGACTGGAAGCCATCTCTTCTGGTCTGAAGGGCAGTGCTCCTCCCAAGACAGCATTCAGAGAGCCAACAGCCCAGGGCAGATCACGCCAGGACAGTGCTTCCACATGGCTGGCTGAGTACCACATTCCCATCTGCAAAAGAGTCACCTTACTGGTTCCCTTAACTTCCAAAATGCAGCGAGCCCTCCTTCACCCAGCAGTGAACAGAAGAGAAGGGAATGCAGGTCAGCAGGGAGATAGAGACCATTATTAACCACAGGTCTGAAACCCTAATTCTTTACTCACTCATCAGGTTGCTTTTAACCACTGCTGTTGCTTGGTAACAGGTTTCAGCCGATTTGAAATGGATTTCTTCCTCCCACAGTCTAACAAAAACAAGTAGGGAAACAACTAAAGAATAAGGCAACTTAAGGAAAACCCTGGGAGGCAGGGTCATGCAAAAGCTGCTTATGGTGTTCTGACGGGAGCTGTCTGAGCAAACTGGCCACAGGCAGTGAGTGAAAGCAAAGCAGAAGCCTTTCTACAAGGCCCATCTCCTGCCAAGAACCCCTCCCTGACGCCTCCACTGGTGGGGTCTGGGATAGGCTCTTTACCCTCTCAGAGGATGGAGGCAATACCATTCACTGGGCAGTCGCTGTGAATACTGAATGAGAAAAAACATGGCAGTGTCCACAGGGCCAGGCACATCGTACTAGATAAGTATTTGTTAGATAAATTAATGATTAGAGACATTCACTCTCACCTTTCAAAGTTGCCAGTTATTTCTGGGATTAAGTAACACCTACCCTACTGAGGCTCTACTTATGCCAAGCCCTATTCTAAGCACTTGACGTGTCTTACTGACATCTTGCAATGACCCAGCAGGAATTGTTATTCCCACAATTTTTAAACAGATGAACAAACTGAGGAACCAGAGGTTAGGTAACTTGTTCAATATGACACAACTAGTATATGATTAGTCCCAGCTCACACCCAGATGCAACTGACTTCAAAGACTACATTCACTACTATTATGCTATAAAGCCTATAAAGCCCTGGTGACATCTTAGTACCCTGGCCTCATGTCCCACAAAGTCAATCCAGGGATTAAAAAAGACATGGGGCTGGGCGCGGTGGCTCACGCCTGTAATCCCAACACTTTGGGAAGCCAAGGCAGGCGGATCACTTGAGATCAGGAGTTCGAGACCAGTCTGGACAACATGGTGAAACCCCATTTCTACTAAAAATACAAAAATTAGCTGGGTGTGGTGGCACATGCCTGTAGTCCCAGCTACTTGGGAGGCTGAGGCACGAGAATTGCTTGAACCCGGAAGGCAGAGGTTGCAGTGAGCTGAGATCATGCCACTGCACTCCAGCCTGGAAAACTGAGGGAGACTCCGTTTCAAAATTAAAGCAGTGTGTAGAGGGAAATTTACAGCACTAAATGCCCACAAGAGAAAGCAGGAAAGATCTAAAATCGACACCCTAACATCACAATTAAAAGAACTAGAGAAGCAAGAGCAAACAAATTCAAAAGCTAGCAGAAGACAAGAAATAACTAAGATCACAGCAGAACTGAAGGAGATAGAGACCACGAAAACCCATTCAAAAAACCAATGAACCCAGGAGCTGGTTTTTTTAAAAGATCAACAAAATAGATAGACCGCTAGTCAGACTAATAAAGAAGAAAAGAGAGAAGAATAAAATAGGCACAATAAAAAATGGTAAAGGGAATATCACCACCTATCCCACAGAAATACAAACCATCAGAGAATACTATAAACACCTCTACGCAAATAAAGTAGAAAATCTAGAAGAAATGGATAAATTCCTGGACACATACACCCTTCCAACACTAAACCAGGAAGACGTCAAATCCCCGAATAGGCCGATAACAAGTTCTGAAATTGAGGCAGTAATAGCCTACCAACCAAAAAAAAGTCCAAGACCAGACGGATTCACAGCCGAATTCTACCAGAGGTACAAAGAGGAGCTAGTAGCATTCCTTCTGAAACTATTCCAAACGATAGAAAAACAGGGAATCCTCCCTAACTCAATAGATGCAGAAAAGCATTCAACAAAATTCAACAGCCCTTCATGCTGAAAACTGTTAATAAACTAGGTATTGATGGAACATATCTCAAAATAATAAGAGCTGTTTATGGCAAACCCACAGCCAATGTCATACTGAATGGGCAAAAACTGGAAGCATTCCCTTTGAAAACCAGCACAAGACAAGGATGACCTCTCTCACCACTCCTATTCAACATAGTATTGTAAATTCTGGCCAGGGCAATCAGGCAAGAGAACAAAATAAAGGGTATTCAATTAGGAAAAGAGGAAATCTTAAATGTAAGACCCAAAACCATAAAAACCCTAGAAGAAAACCTAGGCAATATCATTCAGGACATAGGCATGAGCAAAGACTTCATGACTAAAACACCAAAAGCAATGGCAACAAAAGCCAAAATAGACAAATGGGATCTCATTAAACTAAAGAGCTTCTGCACAACAAATGAAACTATCATCAGAATGAACAGGCAACCTACAGAATGGGAGAAAATTTTTGCAATCTATCCATCTGACAAACGGCTAATCTCTAGAATCTACATAGAACTTAAACAAATTTATAAGAAAAAAACAAACAACCCCATCGAAAAGTGGGCTAAGGATATGCAAGACACTTCTCAAAAGAAGACATTTATGTGACCAACAAACATATGAAAAAATGATCATCACTGGTCATTAGGGAAATGCAGATCAAAACCACAATGAGATACTATCTCATGCCAGTTAGAAAGGCAATCATTAAAAAGTCAGGAAACAACAGATGCTGGAGAGGATGTGAAGAAATAGGAATGCTTTTACACTGTTGGTGGGAGTGTAAATTAGTTCAACCATTGTGGAAGACAGTGTGGTGATTCCTCAAGGATCTAGAACTAGAAATACCATTTGACCCAGAGATCCCATTACTGGGTATGTACCCAAAGGGTTATAAATCATTCTACTATGACACATGCAAACTGCAGCACTGTTCACAACAGCAAAGACTTGGAACCAACCCAAACGTCCATTAATGATAGATTGGATAAAGAAAATGTGGCATATATACACCATGGAATAGTATGCAGCCATAAAAAAAGATGAGTTCATGTCCTTTGTAGGGACATGGATGAAGCTGGAAACCATCATTCTCAGCAAACTATCGCAAGAACAGAAAACCAAACACCACACGTTCTCACTCATAAATGGAAGTTGAACAATGAGAACACATGGAAAAAGGAGGGGAACATCACACACTGGGGCCTGTTGGGGGATGGGGGGCTAGGGGAGGGATAGCATTACATGTGTATCTATGTAACAAACCCGCATGTCCTGCACATGTACCCCAGAACTTAAAGTATAATAAAAAATAATTTCCAGAATCTCGTATAAAAAAAGACTAAAATTTAAAATGCAGTTATGTAAAAGACCAACAGAACTTAAAGATAATCACTGTAAGTGACTTACAGCAAAAATTCAAAAAATGAAAAAGACTAGTGTACTACAAGACTACCTGAAAAAAAAGAAATAATATCACAGAGTATCAAAAACTTGAATGGGAACAAAAACTCTGCAGTTTGAGATTTCTGATAGTCATGAAAAAGAAGACCTGTTGCATAAAAACCACTTGATGTAAAATGAAATTGCCAGGCTCAGGCTGGAAATAGACACAATGAAAAATCAAATCCTGGAAAAGAAATACCTAAAAGACATTGAAATTATAAAAAGCAAGCATGAAGACCTCAAAAGGCTCTAAAACAGAATGGGGAAACATCAACAAAAGCGATAGCCCATTATAGTGGACAGCTTACTGCTCTGACAGAGGAGAACACAATGCTCCGTTCCAAACTGGAGAAGGAAAAACAAAGCAGGCAAAGACTGACGAAATGGAATCATACCATCGTAGACTGAATGCTGCTCTACGTGATCATGATCAAAGTCACTCAACTGAAAGAGACCAAGAGCTTGATTTCCAGGGCACGGTAGAGAAATTGTGTCATTTACAGGAAAATTTGAATTCTCATGTTCTGATTCTTTCTCAACAACTTTCTAAAGCTAAGAGTAAGTTCTGGGTCCTCAAAACTGAGCTCCATTACACGAGAGGCTCTGAAAGAAAAGGCTTTGGTTTTTGAACACATACAAAGAGAGCTAAACCAAACAGTGTCAAATGAAGGACATTGAAAAAATGTACACAAATGGCCAAGATAAAGTAGAAAAATGCACAGAAAAGCAAGTAAGATTATGTCAACTACAAAGACAAACTATGTTGCTTCAACAGCAACTGGATGATGTTCACAACAAAGCTGACAATCAAGAAAAAATAGTAATTGATATTCAAGCCAAACGTGATGCTACAGTACAAAATATTCAGGCTGAGTGCATAAAGCACAGTCTTTTGCTAGAAGAGTAAGAGGATGATCAATAAAGTTAATCATTTGAAAGAAAAACAATGTCAATATGAAAGAGAGAAAGCAGAAAGAGAAGTAGTTGTGAGACAACTTTAACAAAAACAGAGTGATGTCCTAAACAATCAACAAAAGCTTCGCTGGATGCTTCATTGCGTCACTGCATCCGTTGAGGAAGTGAGATGCAAGATTCAAGGAAGAAATTAGGCCAGATGAGAATTCAATTTCAAGAAAAACAGTATCAACTTACAGCAACTATGAGATGTACTAAGGAGACACAAGGCCACATACAAAAGCTCGAAACAGAAAATTCCATGTTAAGAAATACAATTAAAAAGCAAGATGGCCAAATTGAGCAGCTTCAGAAAATCCTGTGAAGTTCAATGCAGCAGTTGTTGAAAGAAAATGAAACTACAGAAACAGATGAAGCTTCTTCTGAATTTAAATCTGGATCCTCTACAGCAGAGGTCCCCAACCTGCAGGCCACGGACAGGTCCATGACCTGTCAGGAACCAGCCACACAGCAGGAGAGTTACTGTGGATCTTCTAGATTATCTGCATGCCACGTTTTAATTTCCACAAAAAACAAAACAAACAAACAAACAAAAACGCCTGCTTGGCTTTGGATGGGGACTGCACTATATCTATAGATTAATATGGGAAAGAATTAACATCAACAATGTTGAGTCTCACAGCCTATGAACAAGATACTTACTTAAGTCTTCTTTAATTTTTCTTAGCAATGCTTTTTAGTTATCAGTGTACAGATATTCCACATAGTTTGTCAGGTTTATTCCCAAGAATTTTATATTTTAATGCTATTGTAAATAGTATTATTTTTAAATTTTCAATTCCTAATTCTTCTAACAGAGAAACATAATTGATTTTTGTGTATCGATTATATATCCTGCAGTGTCGCAAAACTCACTTGCTGGTTTCAGTAACCTGGTAATGGATTTTATTTGGTTTTCTACATAGATGATAATATCTGTGAATAGACAGTTTTACTTATTTATTTTCAATCTAAAGGCCTTTTATTTTTCTCCTTCCCTCCCTCTTTCCCCCAACTCCCAATTAAAACATGATTGCAGTGGCTAGAATTTCCAGTACAATGTTGAATATAAGTGGTAAGAGTTGACCTCTCTGTCTTATTCTCAATCTTAGGGGAAAACATTCAGCCTTTCATCATTACAAAGGATGTTAGCAGAAGATATTTTAAAGATGCCCTTCAATAGGTTGAGGAAATTCTCTTGTATCCCTAGTTTGCTGAGATTATTTTTTAAATAAAGAATGGTTGTTCAATCTCAAAAAAAAAAAAAAAAAAAAAAGGACATGGACATGGAGGGGTGAACCTTCTAGGTGTCTTATTCCAGGTTGCTGGAGCTGCTGGAGCTCACAGTGATTAGAACTGATACGAGGCTTGGCTAAAGAAAAGGAACCATGAGCATTCCTGACCTCCTCCATGCCCCTTCTGACACCACAGCCCTTCTGAGATCTGTCTCCAAGAGGCACCTGGGATGTGAAAGAATCCCACAGAAGCCAAAGGGGTAGCATAAAATTTCCCTTCCTGGCTGAGGACAGGTTAGGGATCTGAGCAGATGACTGGATGCTGTCAATAGCCTAGAAAGAACCTGGGAAGACTAGCTCCTCTCTCTGGCCCCGTCAGGCTTATTCACAGCTCCCCAGCCTCAGAAGACAAGACTGGCAGGGCACAGTGGCTCACACCTGTAATCCCAGCACTTTGGGAGGTCGAGGCGGGTGGATCACCTGAGGTCAGGCATTTCAGACCAGCTTGGCCAACATGGTGAAACCCTGTCTCCACTAAAAACACAAATATTAGCACAGGCATGGTGGCAGGCACCTGTAATCCCAGCTACTTGGGAGGCTGAGGCAGGAGAATTGCTTGAACCCAGGAGGCGGAGGTTGCAGTGAGCCGAGATCACGCCACTGCACTCCAGCCTGGGTGACAGAGTGAGACTCCATCTCAAAAAGAAAAGATAAAAAAAGACCAGTCAGTCTGAGTTCTTAGCCACAGTAGGACAAAGAAAGGTTCAGCAATTAGCCACAAGCAAGGAGACAACCATCAGGTCACTTCCTTCAGTTTAGTGGTGACAGAGGAGGAGCCCTAGTGGACCAGTTGGCCCTGTGCAAAGAGCAGAAAGGCAATCCAGATAAATGTAATTTGTAGGATGACTCTGGAGGTCCTGGAGGGCCAGGAACACTGGCTGACAAGACAGGGTACTAATGGTGGTCAGGCAACAGGGAGGAGCTGACAGGGAACACAAGGGACAGTGAACATCCTATAGATCCAGGAAGAAGCTTCCAAAAGAGATGGGCAGGGACAGCCAGGTAGGAGATGGCTTGGCTGATGAAAATGGGGAAAACAGTCATAGGCAGTTACAGGAGGCACAACCAGAAACAGGCCAGAAAACCCTGGGTCATGAAGGAGGCTGAAGCTGTGGCTTTGGGTGGACCCAAAAACCAATGTGGGCCTTGATTCCCTTGACTGAACAGTGGGATAACAATCCCTGCTTCCTTACAAGGCTGTCCATAAGAACCAGGTAAGATCATGGACACGAAAGCACTTTGTAGGTTAGACATCAGGCTGATAAGAGACCACCTGCAGTTTATGGGATCCTCCCCAGTGTCCCCAGCACAGGCTCAGTGCAAACACCAGGACTATTTAAAGGTCACTGGGCAGGCGTGCCTACTTCCTGTTGGCCGCACAGCAGGGATCTGTCTTCCCACCCCACTCTCCCCTGGCCCAACGCCAGGGGAGAACGGAAAATAAAATCAGTTTAAAAGCAAACATTTATAAATAATGAAGAAAAAAAATATAGCTGAGAACAGCAGGATTTTTCACCTCTTATGGGCTCTTGTCCAAAAAGAAATAGCAGTGTTTTCTGCTGTTGCTCTGTTCTTTCCCCATCTAATGCCAGGAGGTCATAAAGAAAGATATGTAGGGAGAGGGAGGGAGGGATGGGAAATAAAACCCAAGAGAAAAAGAGCCTTCACCTAATGTCAGAAAATACATTCCACAGTCAGGCGTAGAATCAGAACACCAAGAATGCTTAGATTCAAATTCCAAAACAGCATATACCACCAAAAAGTGCTTCTTTTCTACCTCACTCCACGGCCAGGCTCTTCAGGGGCTTGTGTAAAGCAGAGTCACTTGTTCTTAGATGCCAGAGGAGAAGCAGACTCACTCTATGTAGGACAGTGGTGATGGTTTCCACGCTGAGGGACAACTGGACCCCAAAACTCTGTCCCTTACTGTTGCTCCCCTGTGATCTCTGATGGGGCTGCCTTTTGCCACCTGGGAATCACTTGCACCCAACGGTTACCTGCTGCTGCTGACCAGGTTTGTATTCATGGGAATTCAGTGGGACAACATCCAGAGAGGAAACAGGTACGTGAGGAAGACTCCATTCCACAAGATATAGAACCCACTTCTCATCCTGTGCTACTGACATTCAGGTTCGAGAATGTATTGTTGCTTCCAAAAGTAACACTCAAATGTTCGAATCACAAGCAACACACTGCTGCAAGATAAAAGGCACATGTCTGTAAGACAGAGGTTTCGAAGATAGTTACAAAACTGTCCACCAGCTTCTGTCCATAGTGCCTTCCAAAGCTTCGCAAAACTGGCCATGAATTATGCAAGACACACGGCAAAACACTTCTTCACAGCATCCCTAGGAAAGAAAAGACACAAAGATGAGTGGGACGTCGTCACCCCAAAGGCACTTTAGAGGGCACCCAAAGTGGAAGCTGCAGAGTAGAAAGCACCTAGATTGAAAGATCAGACCTACACAGCATCAAACTGCAGCTTCAACATTTATTAGTAGTACTATCCTAGGAAAGTTCTTTGTCCTGTTTGAGTTCCAAATTCCTCATCTGTAAGAGGGGATGTCCCCACTTACCCCACAGTCTGATTATGGGAATAGTCATCATAATCAGAGAAAAAGATAATATAGACTATCAGAAACTAAGAAGTCAGTCAGGACTGCTGCACTTCAATATCGGCCAAAATCACAGAATGCACTGAGAGCATTAAATATTAACTGGGACCTTTCTTCATTCTAAGCAGGCAGCAGAAGGGAGCCCACTATGGGTTCTGAGCACTTATTAATACGCTATATTAGCCTTATCACAGATATATACTGCTTGGAATTCAGTGTAGAGGGTGCAAGGAAGAGTTGGTCTTCAAGAAATTACTATTCTACCCAAGGAAGCACCTCCATTTCCACCACCACACCACATTGTGCAATGTGGCACTAGGCTTCTCATACCCCAGTTCTGTTCCACGTTCTCAACGGTGCTGCACTAAGGACACTGGGAGTCACATAAGGGAGGGAGAGGGGAATGGATGCATTTCCATGAGTAGACACTGCATTTAATATCAAGATGATTCCAGGGCAGCATTTCTTGAGATACACTCTGCACTGTAGTCCCAGAAGAGTCTCTGCACAAGAAGGGTTTTATGGCCACATAAGTCCCCCTCATGGCAGCTCACAATACACATAGCATATGGAAGGATCTAGCAAGCCAGGCAAAGAGGAACTTACCTAATTTTGCTTAACCTGTTTCTCAGATTACTTGATTATAGAACTCTTTTCTTCCACAGAAACACTATTTCTGTGGAACACCATGGGAAAAGCTATTCTAGGGGAACTTACAAATAGAAGGGTGGGGCCAGGCATGGTGGTTCACGCCTGTAAACCCAGCACTTTGGGAGGCTGAGGCAGGCTGATGACTTGAGGTCAGGAGTTCGAGACCAGCCTGGTCAACATGGTGAAACCCTGTCTCTACTAAAAACAGAAAAAATGAGCCTGGAGTGGTGGCGTGCGCATGGAGGCTGACGCAGGAGAATAGCTTGAACCCGGGAGGTTGGAGACTGAGGTGAGCTGAGATCGGGTCACTGCACTCCAACCTGGGCCATAGAGTGAGACTCCATCTCAAAAAAAAAAATAGAAGGGTGGGATCTAGCTCTGTGATTCCCTCCCTACTAGAGGAGTAATTCATTTGCTCAGCACATGAAACTCACTATCTCAAATAAAATTCCATCATTCTATGAATCACTTGTACATAAATTTTATACATGCCAATCCAGATCAAGCCTGAAGCTCTGATGAATGACTCCAAGCAAGTTTCACGAATGAGACCTGTGCAACTGCATTGGCCCCATACTTAGAAGGGTTCACATTGGGTTTCATGCCTTGATTTGATGATGTTGACATCTTGAAATTCATAATCTTTTTTTTTTTTTTTGAGATAGAGTCTCGCTCTGTTGCCCAGGCTGGAGTGCAATGGTGTGATCTCAGCTCACTGCAACCACCGCCTCCCAGGTTCAAGAGATTCTCCTGCCTCAGCCTCCTGAGTAGCTGGGATTACAGATGCGGGCCACCACGCCCGGCTAATTTTGGTATTTTTAGTAGAGACAGGATTTCACCACATTGGTCAAGCTGGTCTTGAACTCCTGACCTCAGGTGATTCACCCGCCTCGGCCTCCCAAAGTGCTGGGATTATAGGAGTGAGCCACCGCGCCTGGCCTATGATTTTTGAACAAGAAGCTCACATTTTTATTTTGCACTGGACCCTGAAAATTATGTAGCTGGTTCAGGGACCAAGAAATATTCAAATGTTGGCAGGCTGATCAGTATCTCATTGGATCCTCAGTTATGATGGACTCTGGCTTACTTCACATAAAAATCTAGCTTCCCAGGACATCCCTGCCCATATTCTTCTCAGAAAAGCCACCAGGCCCCAAAACCAGCCAGGTCTGCATGGAGTATTTCATAACTGTTACCCTCCTAGAATTTATCAGTGAAGCCACTCAGCTACCTTTCACTTGAAAGGCTTAACTTCGCATCCAATCAATCACTCCTCAGCGCCTTCAAATCACTGTCAGCAACAGTCTTGGAATTTGTTAAGACATAAGATTGCTCTTCCTCCTTCCCAAGTCATGCATAATTTTTCATTTCCTCAGTACAGTTTGTTGTTTTTTTTTGAGACAGAGTCTCGCTCTGTCACCCAGGCTGGAGTGCAGTGGCGTGATCTCGGCTCACTGCAAGCTCCACCTCCCAGGTTCACACCATTCTCCAGCCTCAGCCTCCCAAGTAGCTGGGACTACAGGCGCCCACCACCACGCCCGGCTAATTTTTTGTATTTTCAGTAGAGACGAGGTTTCACCGTGTTAGCCAGCACGGTCTCGATCTCCTGACCGCGTGATCTGCCCGCCTTGGCCTCCCAAAGTGCTGGGATTACAGGCGTGAGTCACTGCACCCGGCCCAGTACAGTTTTTTTAAAAAGCTTGTTTTTAGTTAACAGGTAATGATAAAAAAAAAAAAATAGAAGTTAAATAGTTGCATTAGAACAAAGTCAGAGGCAAAGATCACGTGGCTAATTTTGAGAGGGTCATCACTGAAAGTGCTTAAAGAGGTTTGGAGTATTAGAATTTCAGAGCTAAAAGAGGGCTCTGGAGATGATCTAGACCAACTCAGTCTACTTATCAATGCTTTGAGGCCAGAGGGGTCAAGAGAGTTGCTCGAGGTCACACTCCTAGTTAGGAAGCCCTGGTACTGCTTACTCTCCATTTATAAACTCTTGTGAAACTTTTCCAGCAGTGGGATATTTCAAGAAGCACGAATTGAGATCCCTCCATATCTTACTCAGTGATATTAAATGATATTCACCTTTATTAAAAAAAAAAAAGAAAAAAAAAAAACCCCTACTCAAAGCTACAGGTTAAAAGAGTAACAATGTGCATATACGCACTATATATAAGAGTAGAATGTTCACAGCATCGGAAATTGATGTACCTGGGTAAATAGCCATCATTAGTTGTATAATTAGAGTGGGTGGTGTAGTGACCTTAAACTTACTTAAATGAGATGTATAGTATTTGTCTACTTGGCTCAAAAGACTTCAGTAAAGATAAATAAAATAAGATGTACTCTCTGAAAGCAGACTCTAAATTAAAATGAATGACAGAAATCGTATTTCCAAATACACAGTCTTACCTTGCAAATGGTATGAAGGAAAGGCTATACCTATAATGAAAAACAAAGGGTCAAATGAGATGAAGGGAGTAGCAGATTATCCAGCGGAATGGGCTTCTGAGCTTTAAGAGTACCTGCATCGATTTATCCAGACCCTCTCCCATCCTCAGCCTGGGGGGTGAGCATGTGCACACAAAGGCCCACGCATATACATGTATGTGTACCCAGACACACACACTATGGCCATGTACAGACAGGTAGCCACAGAAGAAGGGCAAAAGGTTCATGTGGTGATAACCCCTATGACCTCAGCCTCACTGCAGTACTGCTATAACCTTGAGCTAGCAGCAATCACCTAAAAGTCAGATTTCAGATACCTGGATGGCACAGAAACTCTATTCTGAAAAAGTATCAAATAAAACCCAGAATAGTTGAACCGCCCCCTTTTTTTTGAGACAGGGTCATGCTCTGTCACCTAGGCTGCTGGAATATAGTGGCTCAATCATACCTCACTGCAGCCTTGAATTCCTAGGCTCAAGCTTAGGAGGCTCAAGCAATCCCCCTGCCTCAGCCTCCAGAATTGCTGGGACTAAGTATGTGCCACCATGCCCGGCTAATTTTTTAATTTTTTTTTTTTTTTTGCAGAGACCAGGTATTGCTACAGTGTCCAGGCTAGTCTCAAACTCCTGGCTTCAAGCAATCCTCCCACCTCAGCCTCCCAAAGTCTTGGCATTACAGTGTGAGCCACCCATACCTGGCACAGTTGAACTCCTAACATTTTATAAATTCTAAACAGAATTTAACTTCTACCCAATTGGGATAAATTTTCTGCTCTGCTCCTATTAATTTTAAAAGAAGAGAAAAGAGAATTAAAAAGAAGAAGAAAAAAAAATGCTACCAACTACTCTGTGGGTGAAAATGTAGTATGTCCAAAGGTATCTTGGTAAATCCCAGTTAGCTTAGCCCTGTTGCTTAGAAGGGAACCATATACAAGGAAGAGGCTCCAGAACTCTATAGAACTAGGCACTGTGTGTCAGGCAGGCTGTAAGCTGGTCACCCTTAGAAAAGGCAAACACAGTCAGAACACGTCAGTGTTGAAGGGAATATCACTATTCAGCTGAACCCATGTGAATGCTGAACCTTTGAAACTGGATTCAAAATCAGTCTATAAGCAAAGCAAGTGTGTGTATATGGGTACCAATTTCTGCCCTAGAAGAAAATCAAAATATAAACAGTCTACCACTCAAATGTGCATTTAAACACACACACACACACACACACACACACCACCATCCTTCTCCATATCTTATACTTCCCATGTACAGAAGCTCAATTACTTATCAACACAGTAAATTCCAAAAGGCAATTTGAAACTATATTTATTCAAAAGTCCAAAATTGCTAAAGGGAGGGATGGGAGTTAAGCTTACAGTCTCAAGATTCATTTCTACCAAATAGGAGTTAAACCAATTCTTGGGAACTTTAAAATGTCCAGAATCCTGTTTTCTTTGCATTGTAGCAAACATTTTTTTCAAAAATAGGTGAGTCACATCTATATTCAAACTGCTCTGGCAGATACCACCCCTTGATACACTTTGAAAGAACTACAGGAATGTCTTGGAACCTACAGATTCCACGTGTGTCACCACCCCCTCACTCTGATGTCGTATAGGCTTGAAAGGACCAAGAACCTACAGCCCCATTCATGGTTTCACAAAATGTCTCCAGCGTCCCTTTTACTATGCTTGGCTCTGGAGTTACAATTTCCTGCTCTTCAGCTGAATTACCAAAAGTCAACCGGCCTCTAAGCACATACGCAGATCTTACAGCCCACAGACACACGTTTTTCCATTTCGTCAGTGACTGCTCCTCATCTCCTGCTGACAATTCACTCTTTGTCCTTCTGTTAAATGATTCATTCTATCACAAATGTAACACTCATTATTTTTCTTACCGCTTTCCTTTTTTGTTAACCTCTATTGGACTCACAAGCCTTTTTAACATCCCTTATAATACTTTTATTGTCCTTGCACTTACCGGACATGAGTGGTTTAATAATATTTGTAACATCTCAAAAATCAACCATTAGTTCAGCAAAAATGCCACAGCAGGCAAGCAGCCTCCTGTGACCACTCAAGACCACTAATGCCATCTATTGGCAGTGGGCTGGGTTGATGGGCATTTGCTCTGGAGCCTGACTTCACTTTCATCAATGAGAATCCTTAAATTAAAGAGTTTCTGTGTTTTCTTAATTCTCCCACCCACAATATGTGAGTTTTATCTCCTTCGGCTACATTAGTCAGTGGGCTATGTAGGAGGGGATTGTTTAAAAGGTTACTTACCACGTCAGTGCCAAAGACTGCAAAATACAGAAGATAAGTGCAAGTCCCTTGTTATGCCACTGGAAAAATAATAATATGGTTATAGGAGAGTGTGAGACAAGGGGCAAAAGCCAAAATGGTTAAGAAAAATTAAAATATACATTTACCCAAAAGGCAGAACACAGGGTAAGTGCAAAACACAACTAAAGGGAGAAAGGAAACATTAATTAATGACAATAACATGGCATAAAAAAAAAAAAACTCAAAACTTGTTATTCTTGACAAACGCACAATACTTATGCATCCTTCATCTCAAAGCAGTTAACCCACCTGAGCACCCATGTTTGGCAGAACAATTAAAAATCTCCACGAAATCAAACTAGCCAATAAAGATTCACATAGCTTAAAAAGAGAAAGACGTTCTTTTACTTTCAAGTTTTCCCAGAACCTCTGCCCAGCAAACAAATCACATTTCAGGCCCACCCATTCATCCGTCCATCCATCTTTTCATTCGAATGCACTAAAGAAAGCTTAACACAAATCTATTTTAACTTCTACCGAATGCTAGTCTCTGCAGCAGAAAGCACATGCAAGGACAAAGGTTAACATGAGATATCAATCTCACAGTCAGCATGCCAGTTATTTGTTTACCTATCACCTAACACTTTCCCTAAGGCCATTCTTAGAAAGCTCTTCCTACAGGAGACTTGTCCAGGCCGTGGACATCTGAGGCTGGCCAAGGACAACTGGTGCTAGAGCAGTTAGCCATGCCTTTCCTCGCCATCCTTCTATAACAGTAACTACTCAAATATGTCCTAAACATTCTCTGTGTCCAGCATCATGCCCAATACTCTAAAAGGACACAAAATAAATAGTAAATGTGGTCACAGCTTTTGAGAACTCACCTATTTGAACAAATGAGATTACACAAATGAAACTAAACATAAAAGTACGTTCATCAAGTTCCAAATTGTAATAGTTATAAAAGTCCAGAGAGTGCAGGTCTGGGATGATTTTGACAACCACAGGGAAGAAAATAGGCCAAAAATGAGAGGCATTTGGGGTCAATGGGACAGGAAGCTATAACAAAGCTGAAGACAATGTTGTCAGAGCAGGGTATAAGGATGACAGGCCATATGGAGGCCATTCCCACTTTGGGGAGACTGACGAAAAACAGTAATAAGTCTCCAAGTCAGATAATGAGGAATAAAGAGGCCATTCTATAAGGCAGGACACCACCCTAGAGAATGAGTCCTGTGTTTCTGAGTTATTCCCTCTAAGCCCTGCCTGTGTGTGGCTTCAACAGTCACCAGGAAGGTGTCTGAGCTCCCTTACTACCACCATACCACTCTGGCTAATCTGACAAGCAATGCCCTCTAGAGGTGCTTTTCAGAACTGGTAGCACCTTGACACCCACTGAAACACAAAGTAGGGGAGGAGGGGATCGTGGCATTAGGTAGAGTGTTCCTTTCTGCCACATGGTTATAGGAATAAGGTAATAAGTCAAGCTGAACGGAAAAAGAGAAGAGGTCCTTAGGTTTAAAAGGAAAAAAATCTTATACAACAGAAATAAAAACTCCCATTTGAGAAGTCCAGCTAAAAAGCAGACCTTACCAGCACCATGATAGTTGCAATCAAACGTGTAGGTTCAAACATTCGCTTCAGCTGTTTCACTGGTCCCATGAGGAAGATGGTACTAAAAGGCAAACACACCCACACAAGCTGTTCAGAACAGAACTGCACTAGGCACACTGAGTCGCCTCCCCAAGATTTCCTGTGGCAACAGTAGCTAACATTTGAAAAGCTCTTATTCTGTAGAAGGCACTGTGCTGAAGGGCCTTTTGTACATTATTCTCATTTAATCCATCAACAACCAACCCATAAAGTAGGAACAATTACCACACAGAGCCCACAGAGTTACTTTATCCAAGGCCACCCAACTAGGGAATGATAGACCCAGGCTGTAAATGCATGTGGGTTTGACTGTAGATTCATATCATACCACTAGGTTAGATAAGTCTTCTCCTTGAGAGGTGCTACCTTGCCTCCCTGACAATACCTACTCATGGAAACAAACAAGGCTCAGGAAGTTTAACGAAAAACCATACCTTACAGGCTTAGGTAGGTTATGTTAAAAAGTAGAGCATTTCATTTTCTTTCATAATCTTCAGGGAATAATTCTAATGATGATGATATCATCATGGGTTATTTGTTGAATGTTTGCTAAATGCCAGATATTACATGTATTACCTCATTTCTTCTCAACAATTTTGTGAGTTACATATTACACTTATTTTAGAGATGAGAAAATCACACAGCTACCAAAGAGCTGGTATTTGACTCTGTAGCTATTGGATTCCAAAGCTCTAAAAAGACAGTCCCAGCATGCTTGGGTTTTTTGTCTGTTTGTTTGTTTGTTTGTTTTGAGATGGAGTCTTGCTCTGTCACCAGGTTGGAGTACAGTGATGTGATCTCGGCTCACTGCAACCTCCAACTCCCGGGTTCAAGTGATTCTCCTGCCTCAGCCTCCAGAGTAGCTGGGACTACAGGCACACATCACCACATCCAGCTAATTTTTGTATTTTTAGTAGAGACAAGATTTCATCATGTTGGCCAGGATGGTCTCGATCTCTTGACCTCGTGATCCGCCCACCTCAGCCTCCCAAAGTGCTGGGATTATAGGCGTGAGCCACTGCGCCTGGTCCCCAGCATGCTTTCTGTATGAATGAGAGATTGCTAGCAAGAGTAATCACAAATGAAGCAGACTGTCGTGTCTAACACATCAACCTGGCGTGAGCCACCACACTCGGCCAATAAGTCTTCCTCTCTTTGAAGTGCCATTAAGTTGCAAGGCTTCACTCTCAAGTGCCCCAACTAAAAGAACACTTCTTTAACCTACACCAAATAAGAAGCAACAGTCAAGGCTGGTCCTAAAAATTAAACACAGCATATACACAAAACCATAACAGACTACAGGCAAAGACACAAACTCCCAAATGCCCTGAAAATAACAATTTGCTCCCTTTATTATTTCCCTACACAGTGCTATGAAGAATCCAGCCCATAGCAATTTGCTAAAGAGCTCTTCTGGACTAAGCAACACACCCATATATTTATGCTCAGTCTAGACTATACATTATAACTTACACTGTCTGCCCAAAACAACCCCCCACCAAAAGTTAGTATTGGAGAAAGCTTTAGAGGCAACAAAAGACATCTCTAAGGGTCAGCATTCTACTGTCATAAGCACTAATAAATTAAGCTTTAAGCAGGTGGCCAGAATCATGCACTCAATCATTTAATTAACATCCCCCATTTCCAGTCAGACTCAGAGCTAAGTTTGGGTACAACTGGGGACAAATAAGATACGTGTGCAGCCCTTATCAAGTGGCTTACAGACCTAACAAGTCAGTGTAGTAAAATGCTACCTGCACTGGCACATAAATATAGATGGAATACTGAGAGCCCAAAGGAAGAGGTCATCAATTCTGGAGAGGAGGAGGTAATCAGGAAAAGCTTCATAGAAGAGGTGGCTTTTGAGCCAGGTCTTAACAAATGAGCAAGTGTCTACCAAACTAGGGCAGCTACAGATAGGGCAGCATTCCAGAAGGAGAAAACAACCTAACAAGGGCACAACGACATTTTGGGAACTGCAAGAAGTTCAGCCTGGCTGGGAAGCACACTGGGTAGGGAATGGGACAACGGTGAAGCCAGATCTCAAACAGGCTTAACTGTATGCATGTTGAGGAATTTGGACTTCATCTGTAGAGACAAAACAGGGAGCCACTCGCGGGGGCTAAGTAGGGTTATAAGTGAATGGCTCTACAGCTCAGTGGAATACGGCCTGGAGAGGGGCAATGGAGGAGACAGAGAGACCCCGCAGAGGCATCTTGTTCAGGTAAGGGTGATACAGGCCAAAGCTAAGACGAGCTCAGATATCACCTTCTCTAGGAAGCCCTCCGTGACTCAGGTCGTGTCAGCTGCCCCTCCTTGAGCATCTCTTTCCATATCTTGTTATATCATGAGTTCTATGTCTGCCTGGCAGGGACCAAACTGGACTTGTCTTTGTATCCTCTGAGCCCAGCACAGAGTGTGATCAATGCTTACCCACTGAGCATACAAGTCAGTCAGTGAAGCACAAACAGCCATGGGGACACAGAGGAAGGAGCCAGTAAGACAGGGATACATCAAGCCCTGGTGAGCAATCATGGAGGGGAGACTTGGACCCCCAGGACTCTGAAGCCATTTACAGAGACACAAGGGAAGGGAAAAGGGGGAAAAAAGATGCCTGAGTTCAGGTTCCTGCAGGTCATTCAGGTAGAGGCCAGGCCAGGGCTCCCAGTTGGAGAGGGTGGAGTTGTTAGCACCAGTGTGATTGAAGCATCAGTGTGAAAGCTTGACCTGGAAAGTCTGTGCATTCACAACATGCAGAATGGGCTGCCCACCTCCAGGAAGCACTCAGATGCCCTGCCCACATGAGCGGCTACTCAGGTCTGGGAAGGTCTGACACTTAATACAAACGAGTTTCCCTTATGGCCACTGGAGTGATGAGCCCTTTGAAAACCATCAACTCAATCTCTGACAGCAATAAGAATACAGCAAGCAGGAGGACTGGGTTGTAAACCCTGGAGAAATCACTGAACTGCTCTGTGCTGCAGTTCCTGAACATGTAAAATCACAATGGCAACACAGTTGCTCTTTCTCCCAGGTGTTTCAAACTAAGAGATAAAATGTTTTCAAATAATAAGATATGAATGTGAGATAATCTAACCATTTCTCTCCAAATCCCTTACAACTACTGGAGCCTCTTCTTTCACCTCCCTCAAGGGCAACCAAAATCCATTTTCCTATCTAATGATTAGCTAAGATTGGATTTTTAAAAAAGTTACCTCCCAATTGATGCGATATTACCAAAGGTATAAAACACTGCGAAGAGGTGTAATCCCTTCCTGGGCACCCACAGCAGAAGAGTACCCTAGAATTTAAAGCACAGCGTTTGCACATGAGCAACCCCTCCCACCTGGCCACACAAGCAGAGCTCACAGAGGAAGCCCTGAGGAGGCCGTTTCCCTCCCCACCTCCCTGATTCCCTCTCCTCTCATCCATGCATTTTAGTGAAGGGCAAAAGGGGAAAGGAGGTGCACAAAAGGGGGAATATATAGCAAAGACGGGTAGGAGGAAAAGACAGAGGAGGGAGGGAAATCTTACCAGCAGTGAGCAGAGAATTCCTATAGCAAAACACGCAATGAAGCCTTTTATCCTGGTCCCCCAGCTTAATGAAGATGCCTCAACAACCTAAAATTGAAAAAAAAAAAAATACATATACACACACATTTACTAAAAACAAAACAAGCACAAAATTAAATCTAGAAAGTGTTAAGTTGTACTAGGGAAGGCAAGGAGCACAGAATCCTACACACTCAGGCGATGGGAGTCATCGAATCCAGACTTTATCAGAGCTGTAAAGTTATGATGCAGATATGAATCTCCTCTCCAGCAGCTAACAGCTGTGCCTCCCGCTGAACATCTTCAGAGGCAGAAACTCTTTGCCTCGAGCACAACTCATTTCATGAACAGGAAGGCAAGACAGCCAATCCTAGAGCAGCCCAGAGCCTTCCCACAACCCACGCAGGATGAGGACCACACCTGGAAAGGCATGAGTCCACCTGGGACCCTCCACCAGGCAGGGTCCCAGGAAATAAGGAAAAGATGAGGGGACGGCACTCAAGCAGCTGCTCCACTGGTCATCCTCTCCTACATCAACTCTCACCCGCATTATTTACTCTTGGTTCAGATGTTGTACTTACAGGGTGCCGGCATCAGTCAACTCATCCAAGTGCGAGACAGATCCTGGTTAATTAATGACAGTCCTGCTCATCCTGATTCTTTGCCATCATGATTAATCCCTCCCTGGAGCAAAGTTCAGGAGAAGCCAGGAGTTCCAAAAACACTATTGAAATAGGAGAGCCTGTGAGTAGCTCCCAATGGTTCTTTTCCCATGTCAAAAATGACAACAGCTGGGCACAGTGGCTCATGCCTGTAATCCCAGCACTTTGGGGGGCCAAGGTGGGCGCATCACCTGAGGTCAGGAGTTTGAGACCAGCCTGACCAACATGGTGAAACTTTGTCTCTACTAAAAATACAAAAAATTAGCCAGGTGTGGTGGTACATGCCTGTAATCCCAGCTACTTGGGAGGCTGAGGCAGAAGAATTGCTTGAACCTGGGAGGTGGAGGTTGCAGTGAGCCGAGGTTGTACATTGTACTCCAGCCTGGGCAACAAGAATATAACTCTTGTTGTCTCGGAAAAAAACGACAACAAAGTCTCTGCACTGGTGACCCTGCTCGTCTGTCCACCTGATGCAAGTGGGAACAGCTGTTTCAAGCTGGACAAAGACAGCTGCCAGTGAGAGACCAACACCACACAGGGCAGCTAGGCCATGTATATTCACACAGGGCTCACCTTGTACGGCCAGCATGGTCTCCATCTAGCAATGCGGTCAAAGTTCCCTACCATATTTCCACCGGGCTGATGGAAGAAGGTAGATAGTGGCAGAGAGTCAAGAGTCATTAGACTGGCAACTCCCTCAGCCTTGACTACCCCCAGCTCAGGGATCTGTTTTCAACCATGTCTCCAGAGTTCCTGTCAAACCAGAAGCTTGAAAAGAACGATGAGAGGCTCCCCTCAGGTGTGGCACGTATTGCCAAAGACTACCTTAATCTCCACTCAGGAGAAAGGTATTTAGGTCAGGTTATACATTCATACATATTGGAACTGAGCCCATGACCCTGCACAGAAGGCACAAATTAGGGATGATAACAGGTAGCAGGGGCCCAGTGTTAAGACCTGACAAATGAGTCACCTGGTTTTACGCTGAGGTAAACCTCTCCTGGAGGAGTCTGGTTTCCCAAACCCCCTGGGACTCCAAAATGAGCCATGTGATGATGCTCTGGTAGCAGGCTTTACAAGGCTCCAGACAATCTAGTCAGGCTACTTCTGACTAAAGCATTTAACCTCCCACCAGTCTCATTTGAGTGGTACCTAAAATGAGAAGGTACCACTCTCCCTACTCATGCAAGAACCAAAGAACTTACCTTGCCAAGGCGAGAAAAGAACTAGCTGCAGGTGGGAAGAAAAATTGACCTGACTTGTTCATAGGAAGAAGAGTGGTAATGGGATTGGCCTGGCTTATTCACAGAAAGAAGAGCATAGTGAGATTGGCCGGGCTTGTCTGTAGGAAGAAGAGCGGTAGTAGGATTGTCTTGGCTTGTTCTTAGGAAGAAGCATGGTAGTAGGATTGGGCTGGCTTGTCTGCAGCAAGAAGAGTGGTAGTAAGATTGGACTGGATGGTTCCCTGAGCACTACATGTCATCAACAGGGATTTTTTAAAAGATTCAACCTTTCTATTTTAAGAGGATAAACCATAAGGTTAAGAATGAAATCTGAATTGGCTTTGATATCTAGATTGCTAAATAACCTCAACAGAACAGTGAGATTCCAGCCCTCATAAAAATCAAAATAACTGACAATAGGAAGCAGTTCAGCCAAGAATGTGTTTCTGGTTTCTACCTTCAGAAAGGAAAGTAACACTCCATATTCAAGTCTCTCAAGCTGAATCCATCCAAATGTTACTGTTTGCCAAAATGGAAGGGGTGGGGGGCATATTTCACCACTGTATTTTTCCATTACATGTGGTTGCAAGTTCTTTTACATGCACACTCGGTCAGGGAAGGAGGAAGCTGTTGTTCCACTTCTTCTAACTGGACTCAGTGAAAGCAAAACACTTCTTTTGGCCAAATTATGAAAACAAACTCATAAAATGTCTGTAAATTCATGACTGCTGGAAGCTGTGCTAGCATATTGTTTTTGGAAATTAGAGTAGCTAAAATGGTACCTGGATAGAATGTGTAGGCAATGCGCTCCCGGGCAGTCTGACTGACTGGCAGCTATTCACAAAGGTCCCTTTCACTCTGCGATGTGGAGAGGAGAGAGGCTCTTGCCAAGAAGTAATACTAAGAATTGTTCAGAAAAACAGGATTGGTAGCCAGAAGGTGAGAAAGGAATACTGCTTCATTTCCACACTTTAAAATCAGATACTACTCATACCTTTCTTGTCCCCAGAATCCTTTATTAAAAAAACATAAAACCTATACTTTCAGAAAGAAGTCCCTTGAAACTACAGACTTAAGGTGTACTTATGAAGATGAGGTATCAATCACAAAATTCATCGTGGGTTATAATTAGATACTGCCATGCAAATTTTATAACTACCGAGGAGAGGTAGGAGAAATAGAACTAGTCATGCCTTTATGGTTTGCATTAAAGGAATAAAAGTTTTAAAAAGCACTCTCTTCTAGTGACCTCTTTTTTTTTTTTTTTTTTTGAGACGGAGTCTTGCTCTGTGCCCCAGGCTGGAGTGCAGTGGCGCGATCTCGGCTCACTGCAAGCTCCGCCCCCCCGGGTTCACACCATTCTCCTGCCTCAGCCTCCCGAGTAGCTGGGACTACAGGCGCCCACCACCTCGCCCGGCTAATTTTCTTGTATTTTTAGTAGAGACGGGGTTTCACCGTGTTAGCCAGGATGGTCTCGATCTCCTGACCTCGTGATCCGCCCGTCTCGGCCTCCCAAAGTGCTGGGATTACAGGCTTGAGCCACCGCGCCTGGCCGTGACCTCTTAAAGAGATTTTAAGAGTGCCTAATTCAACTTACCACACAAAACAGCAATTTCCCCACGAAATCCTCCAGTTCTACCAGCCCCCAAACCATGAAAAATATGAGACAATTAAATCAGTACTAATATTTTAAAGGAAGCTCTGACCTAATCAGTAAATACTAACCTGAAACAGCCTGGAAGATGAAGTCAGTCGGCAACAAAACATTTCCCAGGAATTCAAGACTCGGGAAGTGCCATACAATGATGTTAGAAACAGAATCTCACTCAGAAAGAGGAAACTGATCAAAGTATTTCAGAACAAGAACGAAGCACCTATTCTTTTTAAATTAGATCCAACAGATGCCTCAGCATAACACATTAAAGCCCTTCTCACAGTATCCAACACAGACATTCACCGTTTTAGGTTAAAAACAAGCTCAGCATTTATGTTTGCAAACTTTACTAGTCGTCCACTGTTGAGGGTCAGCCCACTGCTTCGTGATGATTTTCGAGACACTAATAATCTGCATCGTCCCACTGTCAACACTCCACCCCCCAAGAGTCTGCAGGGATATAAAGTGTCTCCCTCTTAAGCACCAACTGTTCATAAAGGCTTGTTGACAGTCAATGGAAATAAAGCTTTAAATAACGAGGGTCAGCTACCTACGAGTCAGACCTTTCTTAGGCCTGGTCTGAGGTTCCACTTGAGATTCATAATAGAAGCTAGAAATAAAAAAAAAAAAAAGAACCCGTGAAATTACTCCTGAGCCTTGACCAATTAATAAAGGCAATAAATTAAAAAGAACCCACCAACTAGTTTTGAAATGTCAAAAAGTTAAACTTCAGTGCCTCCAACATTCGATCCCATATAGTTACTCCCTCAAGGTGAAGATTAAGAGGGCAGGTTTTACGTTCTGAGATGTCATGCAGAAAGTGTAAGTCCCAGTATCACACAAAACAAAACCGAATAAAATCAGCAACCACAAACGTGGGTGAAAGCAGCCTGCTGAGAAAGACCTTGCTGAGAAACCAGAAGAAACACCGATTAGTTTCCAGTTGGCCATATCATCTTAACATCCTCATTTCACAGATGAGGAACGGAGGCTAAAGAATACACCAAAAAGTGAAGAGAAACGTTATTTTGTCATCCAAAAAGGAAAACAAAAGCTAAAAGCACCCCAAATAGAAATGCAGCATTCTGTGTGGTTCTACAACATAGGACATTAGCAGCCAGGTTTCAGCACGATTAAAACTTTTCTAATAGGCCGGGCGCGGTGGCTCATGCCTGGAATTCCAGCACTTTGGGAGGCAGAGGTGGACGGATCACTTGAGGTCAGGAGTTCGAGAACAGCCTGGCCCAGATGGTGAAACCCCGTATCTAATAAAAACACAAAAATAAGCCGGGTTTGGTGGCGGGTGTCTGTAATCCCAGTTACTTGGGAGGCTGAGGTGGAAGAATCGCTTGAACCCAGGAGGCGGAGGCTGCAGTGAGCCGAGATAGCACCACTGCACTCCAGCCTGGACGACAGAGTGAGATACTGTCTGGGGCGGGGGAGGGGGAAGCTTTTCTAATAAAACAAACCAACACACAGGCAGTCTCCTGAGGCGCTGGGTGTCTAGAGTCTAGGTGTGGGCACTGTGGACACAGAGACACAAGATGTGGTCCCTGTCCTCATGGGATGGGGGGGCAGTTTCTCCCCCTCAATCACAAGGCAATGTGTACAGGGAGTGTATAGGGAGTGTCACATCCTATAACCTAAGCCGGACAGAAAACCAAGGCAGAGCTCGCGGCGCGGCCACCAGCCCCGTCGCGAGGTGGGGACCGCCACCCCAACACCCCAGCCCGGGTCTGGCGCTCCGACCCACCCAGCGAGGGCTCCTTCCGCCAGGACCTCGGGGCCCCCAGCTCTACCCGGCCCTAAAAGGCATTTCCCGGCCGGGGCCGACAGCCCGGTCGCCCGCCCTCCCACTCGCAGCTGGGTCCAGGGATTTCCTCCTGCGCCGCCCCCGTCAGGGAGAATGGGCTGAAGGGGCGCGGGGCAGAAGAGAACGCCGCGGCCGACTGCCCCGTGCAGTGCCAAGGCTCCTCGCGGAGCCCTACAGAAGAGGAGAAGGGGCAGAGCTACAGTCCAGAAACTCCAGGGAGTCCCCGCAGGCTTCCCAGGCCCGGGCCGGGGACGTAGCGCGGGAGCGCGGCGAGAGGGGGCCGAGGGCCCCGGGCTCACTCACCTCGGACAGGCCGCTGCGGTCCTCCGTGTCCTGCCCGCTCAGCACCTTCTTCAGCTTGTCCATTGCGGCCGAGTACCCACCGGCTCCAGCCCCTCTGCAGCAGCCTGTTGCGCCTCGCGAAGTTGACGGCTCTTCCGGGTACTAGGCTGCCGCCCCGCCACCCGGGCGCCAACCGCGGCGCGCCCCGCCCAGGCACCTGCCCACCTGGGGGCGCCCAGCATGCCCCGCGCGCCCGCGCCGGCCTTCGCCCTCGTGTTTTTGTCCCGGGAGGCGGGTCGGGCCGGAGGGGCTGGGATTGAAGTCACCAGGCGCTGCCAAACATTAATTGGGCGTCCGGAGCAGTTTCAAATCCGAACGGGCTGCGCTCCCTCGCCCTACTTGATCCAGTCAACAAATGCTGAGCACCTACCACGTGCAAGGCTCTGAAGAAACAAAGACGGGGAAGAAGCCTTGTGCAGACGGGAACAAAGGCTGTGTTTCATCCATATCACGATCGTGCCTACACAGGAAAAGATTTTTTTTTTTAATTACTCAAGGCCTTAACCTGGTGTGGTGGGGCATGCCTGTAAGCCTAGCTACTCCGGAGGCTGAGGCAGGAGGCTCACTTGAGCCAAGGAGTTCCAGGCTATGGTGAACTGTGACCAGGATACTGCACTCCAGCCTGGGCAACAGAGCGAGACTCTGTCTCACCAAAAAAAAAAAAAAAAAAGTGACTGAAGGAATGTGGAAAGGAACAATAGATTGTTAAATTGTTTTGTGTTTGTACAATAGTTTGTTTTACTGACCCCAAAAAAACTAATAATAGACTGGGCATGGTGACTCATGTCTGTATTCCCAGCACTTTGGGAAGATGGCTTGAGCGCAGGAGTTCCAGACCAGCCTGGGCAACATAGGGATACCTCACCTCTGCAAAAACATTTTTAAAAATTAGCCAGGCATGCTGGCGGGCACCTATAAGCCAAGCTACTTGCCAGGCTGAGGAGGAAGAATGGCTTGTTCTCAGGAGGGCAAGGCTGCAGTATGCCACGATGTCAGTGCAGTAAGCTACTGCACTCTAGCCTGGGCAACAGCGTGGAAACAATCCAAATGACCATCAACTTATTAATGGTAAATAAAATGTGACATACCCATGCAATAAAAAGGAATGGAGTACTGACACATGCTACAACGTGGATGCACCTCGAAAACATTGTATTAAGTGAAAGAAGTGTGGACCCCAAAAATTTGAGACAGGTCTCAGTTAACTATTTAGGATGTTTATTTTGCCAAGGTTGAGGACCAGCACCTGTGACATAGCCTCAGGAAGTCCTGATGACATGTGCCCAAGGTGGTTGGGGCACAGCTTGGTTTTACACATTTTAGGGAGACATGAGGCATCAATCAACATATGTAAGAAGTACATTGGTTTTGTTTGGAAAGGCGGGACAACTCGAAGCAAAGGCAGGAAGACTCAAGCGGGGAGGGAGCTTCCAGGTCACAGATAGGTGAGAGACAAATGGTTGCACTCTTTTGAGTTTTCGATTAGCCTTTCCAAAGGAGGCAATCAGATATGCATTTATCTCCATGAACACAGGGATAACTTTGAATAGAATGAGAGGCAGGTTTGTTCTAAGCAGTTCCCAGCTTGAATTTTCCCTTTAGTAATTTGGGGGAGCCCAAGATATTTCCCTTTCACAGAAGCGAGACACAATAGACCATATACTGTATGATTTCATTGCTAGGAAATATCCAGAATAGGCAAACCCATAGAAACAGAAAGTAGACTAATGGTTGCCTAAGGATGGAGGAGGGGAAATGGTAATAAGAGACTAATGGGGTGATTTAAATGTTCTGGAATTAGATAGTGGTAATGGTTGCATACACAACTCTGAACATACTAAAAACCATTAAATTGCATGCTTTGAGTTAATTGTATGGCATATGAATTCTATTGCAATAAAGCCATTTCACAAATGCTTCGAACAGTGCTCAGTATATATTTCACAATCCATTAATATTATCTATTGTAAAATGTAACAGGCATCCACTCTTATCTTTCCCCAATGTATCTGAGTCTGAACCCGGAATATGGGCTCCTGATTTACCTGCAGGTATATTTGCACATTGTGCAATTGGCCCATTACAAGGTGATTCATTGTAGCATTGTTTGTAAAAAAAAAAAAAAAACTTGGAAACAACTTGAAAGTTCATGAATGAGGGAAGTGCTTGAATAAATTATGGTACATTCATTCACAAGAATACTAAGTAGTCATTAAACACAAAAGAATGAGGAAGGTTTAATAAATGTCATCAGAAGGTTTTTTCTGACTGTGCCACACCATCCCTTGAAGGATCTTTGTAAACGTAAGTCTGACTCATTTGTTGCCCTGCTTAACATCTCACACAGTGTGATAAACTGAAAAATGTTCCCCAAAAGATATCCATGTCCTAGCCGGGCGCTGTGGCTCACACTTGTAATCCCAGCACTTTGGGAGGCCAAGGCGGGCGGATCACAAGGTCAGGAGATCGAGACCATCCTGGCTAACACAGTGAAACCCCATCTCTACTAAAAATATAAAAATATTAGCCAGGCATGGTGGCAGGCACCTGTAGTTCTAGCTACTTGGGAGGCTGAAACAGGAGAATGGCGTGAACCTGGGAGGCAGAGCTTGCAGTGAGCCGAGATCACGCTACTGTACTCCAGCCTGGGTGACAGAGCAAGACTCTGTCTCAAAAAAAAAAAAGATATCCATGTCCTAATCTCTGGAACATGTACATGTTACCTTAGATTGCAAAAAAGTGGAGTGGGGGTGGTATTTTGTGCAGGTAATTAAGAATCGTAAAATCGATTATGCACATTTATCCAGGTGAGCCATAAATGCAATCATGTATATCCTTATAAGAGGGAGGCAGAGGGAGATTTGACACAGGCAGAAGAGGAGAAGGCACTGTGACCACAGAGGCAGAGATGGGAGTGACGCAGCCACAAGCCAAGGAATGCTAGTAGCCACTAGAAGCTGGAAGAGGCAAGGAAAGTATTCTCCCGTAGGGCCTCCAGAGGGAGCAGAGTCCTGTCAATAGCTTGTTTTCAGCATTTCTGGCCTCCAGAACTGCGGGAGAATCCATTTCTGTTGCCACCAAATTTGTGATATGTAACAGCAGCTGCAGGAAACTAATGCCCATGTTCCCTACCACCTACAGATAAATTACTACTGACTTCTCAGCAACACATACCTTCCTCTTTGGGTTCATCTCGCTCCTTTCTCTCACACACTCCAGGCTCCAGGCATAGGAGACTGTAGTTCCTGAACTCATTGTGTTCCCTACCTTGTCCTGGAAAACACCTACTCTTTTCCATCCTTGTCTCTTTCCCTTCCCCCAACACACAGTCCTCTCAAGTCATCTTAATCTTACCTCCACCATAACACTTAGCACAATATGCTCCATTTGTTCACATTAGGGTCCCTATGGGGCATAGATCTTATTTGTCTTTCCATCCCCAGCACAGTGCCTGGAACATATAATAGGTGCTAAATAAATAATAACCTACTCTAGTCATTGGCCAGGTGAGGTGACTCATGCCTGTAATCCCAGCAATTTGGGAGGCCGAGGCAGGTCGATCAGGAGGTGAGGAGTTCGAGACCAGCCTGTCCAACATGGTGAAACCCCGTCTCTACTAAAAATACAAAAAAATTAGCTGGGCATGGTGGCAGGTGCCTATAATCCCAGCTACTCCGGAGGCTGAGACAGGAGAATAGCTTGAACCTGGGAGGTGGAGTTGCAGTGAGCCGAGATAGCCCCATTGCACTCCAGCCTGGGCAACAAGAATGAAACTCTGTCTGAAATAAATAAATAAATAAATAAATAACCTACTCTAGTCACTGGTCAGATGGCTCACTGGTAGGCATTCTCATTCCCCACTGTGCAATGCAGATGCAAATAAGTCCTCAAGGCTGAATGATGTACTCCCTCACAGCCTTTCTATACCTCTGTTTTGCCAGGGTGAACAAATAGGCAGCTTTAGATGAAATTTTATGTGTGCTCTGTTAAATTTCACCCTCGTCTCAGCAAAAGCTAAACACAAAAAATGTTCTTACGAAGTCTCTTAGAAGTGTGTGTGCAAGGAAGCTCTAAGGAGTTGGTTTCCAAGGAACAGGAAATAAGGCAGTCCTCTGAGCATTATTAATCCATGAAATTAACACAGAAATCATCAGGGTGGACATATTCCTACTTGGTTATTAAGAAAAAGCCCTTAAAAAAATCATGATTGAATGCCTTAATGTATCTAGAATAGGAAAAGGAGAAGGGAGGGAAGGCCATTCCTCAAACTGGTTAATCCTAGGGGCCAGGAAAAGGAGACTCCTAAGGCAGTGTTGGCAAAGCCTGTTTAAGCACAGCACAGGTAAGACATAATTCTAGTGTCTGAGTCCCACATGAAGCAGGTATATCCTTATCACAATTGTAAAAGCCTAGGCCACCATGCAAATTCTGAACTTCCTTCCCTTTTTTTTTTTTTTTTCCTTTGAGATGGAGTCTCATTCTGCCACCCAAGCTGAAGTGCAGTGGCACGATCTTGGCTCACTCCAACCTCCACCTCCCAGCTTCAAGCGATTCTCCTGTCTCAGCTTCCCAAGTAGCTGGGACTACAGGCGTGCACCACGACACCCAGCTATTTTTTGTATTTTTTAAATAGAGACGGGGTTTCACTATATGTTGACCAGGCTGGTCTCGAACCCCTAACCTCAGGTGATCCGCCCGCCTCAGTCTCCCAAAGTGTTGGGATTACAGGTGTGAGCCACCGCATCCGGCCTCTTCTTTCATTTTGATTTCTTACATACCAAGAAGGCTTCTCCATTATAAAATCTGCTGCTCCCAGGAAGATGTCAGTCTTCTGAATGGTCGCAATTCAGACCTTGAAGCCAAGAGACAGATCTTTAAAGGACCCTTAGGGTTGTGCTATTCTGTGGATATTTGTAGGGGCAGCCAGGCCTCCCCTCTACTTCCAGTGGGTATTCTTGCCTTTTCTTCAGTCTTCCACATGAAGTAAGTAAGTGAAGTAGAAACCTTAGCTGAACCAATCAGGACAGTGCCTCTTGTTCTATTTTGGCATCACAGACCCTTTGGAGGGTATGATTGTAATGGAGCCTCTCTCCACCTGCCCCTGGGGAGAAAAGTGGCGCATACTACCAGGGGTGTCATATATGCCAGGCGTTCCGCCA